GTTTGGAAGTAACTCTCGTAACACTTAAGGACAGAACAAGACGAACTGGCACAGGACAAAGGGAAGCGAGGACTATTTATACATGAGGAAGTAGGAAACAGGTGAAACCAATCAGGGGCGGGGAAGACGATCACCAAGGCGGGAAAATCAAACAAAGGGAGGAAGTCAGGGTCTGAAATGAGAGGGAAAAGGTGAGTACCAAAATAAAACAGGAAGTGCGCGACGAGAGTATTAAGTTAAACTTCACTCATGTCTACTAAGTGCTCAAAACACACAAGACTAACATGAACTAAATACACGCATGACATAACTTAAAACATGAATATGAATCAATGCAACATAATTGACGAGACATAACAGACTTGTGCACAAAGTTGCAGTAGTTGTTTGCATTTAAGGACAATGTAATAAAAATATGAATATAAGTGTGCAAATTCAAAGTTATTGCAGGAGTAAGCAACAAGTTTTGGTGTGGACAGAAACTTTACGGCTCAGGGTTGTGAGAGTTCACCTTTTGACAGAGTTGAGGAGTTTCCTGTATCTGTCCTTGTGGCAGCGGAGTTGAACCGGTCTGTTGGAGAAAGTGCTCCGCTGTCTGTCCACTAGGTGGAGAGGGTGCACGTGATTGTCCAAGATGGATAACAGTTTGTTCACAGCCCAAGCACAGAGCTAAAAGCTGGTTTTGTAAAATATCCACATTAGTGTTTAGGATACCTCATTACATCCTGATCAAACTCCTTCCACTCCTTCTCTCCTGAAATCTAAAGCCCTGCTGCGCTGTTTGATATTCCAGCTCCTGCCCCTGTCAGTGTTACCACTTGATGATAACACCACACAGCCTCTTCCCTCACACTGTTCAGCAGGGTTTCTATGTGAGGACTCAGCCTGCATTTAGTTTTACGTACATCACATCCTGGCCACTGGTAAATAACCTACATTTGCCTCCGCTATGGCAATTTCAGGAGCAGAGTGGCAACATTTTCACTCAAGCAAAAGCAGGGAAAGAAATTGAGGAGCAGGGTGTCCTGCCCTTTAAGAAAACATAGACTCAGACTGTGTCCTCAGTACTGGCTGTCTGGACCCAGACTAGTGATAATAATCCTCATCATCCCACTCTGACCAAGATATTCCTCCTGATATAAACACTCCATCCTCCATGACATGGGTGAATGCCTCTGTGTGATTCATTTCTGTTCTTTGTGTAGCAGTGTGTGTGTATGTGTGTTTGGTATACACCTGATGAATGAGGAGTCTGCTTTGCTGACAGAGGGTCCCATTAACATGGGCGCTTTGCTCTCCCTCACTATCCGTCACACACACACACACACACACACCCAAAGAGAGAGAAATTGAAGATTTAATAGCACCAACCCTGTGTCTGCAGGGAGTGAATGGCATTCATTGGTAGGTTTAATTATGAAGGCTTTAGCTTTCAGATATGGAGGATTTCACACCAAAATGCCTTTTATTTTGAATCATGCAGCAGTTAGGACAAGAGAATACTGTTACCTAACAATCTATCAGTATTGGAAATGACTGATGATGTAAGCTGTAGCTGTTCTTTTTAGCAAGGTCTTTCAGAGACGGATGTGAAGTGTTTTCTGTAAAATCGATATGTTATAAAATACAAAAAGTAAACTTGCCAAGGGTTGGATGATACCACTTTCTTTTCAGGATGATAATTCTGAGACCAGCAGAAAAGTAGCTTAGCAGTAAGCCTGGAGGAGAGGGTCTAGGTTGTTTGCAAAGTTTAAAAAAAGAATCGACTCTGTGAAATCACAACTTGGGCTTTTTGCGCTTCTGATATATTATAGTAATTAGTGTGTTTCAGAGGAGAGTTTAAACAAACTGTTTCTCTTTGCTATTTAAACTGAGCTCATATGAGTAATCACATTACATGGGTTTTATGCATGTATGTGTGTTTTCCAAAATGTCTCTATCCCTCGATTGCTTCTTTATTTGCTTTCTTTGAGAAAGAAAAATGTCTTAGCCACAGGTCACACACCATGTTTATTTCATATCATTTATTTTCTATGGCTCACAGATGTAAGATGTTGCCAACTTATGAGTACGGGCATTGCTGATGAAAGATCTTCTTCACAGGTGTCTGATGAAGATGGCTGAATTTCTAATCGGTGTTCACAGTGGTGAATAAAAGAATCACCCCGATGAGCCTCAGTTGTCCTTACTTGAATATAATAGATTCTTGGTCTAATGTACTAGCTCACAGTCAAACCAAAAAGCTTGAAGTACAACAGAAACATTTCAGTGTTATACCAAAGGGAGGGAGCAAATCACAGTCTTTGTCACGATAAGTCATGACAACATCTGTTATTCTCATGAGATACAGACTCTCAAAGTTTATTTTATCACATCAGCAGAGACAGGATGGCAGCTCCAAACACAAAACATAAACCATCTGATCTAAAGTATTCCTGCAGAGGCTGTGAGACATCATTCAGATCATGCATAATATGAGTCATACACGATTTTAAAGGTATTAGAGTGTGTGTAAGTAACATATTCCTTCACAGGCATCTTATTAAAAAAGTGGTCTATGACACACTGGTTGAGGAGAACGTGGCAGTTAGATGTGTTTAAATGCAGCACTGAGTCCACTTGAGGCTGTTTCATTCAACGAGCCTCAGAAGTGAATGCATCGCTTCCCTGGAAATCAGAAAAATCAATTACCCAACGCTCATTAGAGGAGCTGAAAGCAGCTTAGCGCTGATTGTTTTATCCTGATGCCTCAAACGATTAAGAGCTTATGGTACAGTCACTATACTGGTACTGATCGGTTGTACCAGTTGACAGGTAGTTAGATGTACTACATTGTGCCTATATGTGGTCAGCTGAAATCCTTACTGCTTGGCTGTAACATTAAGGTGAGATTACATGACTTTTCATTAAGTTAATGAAACAATGTTCCTGATAAGTAGCGAATAAGAATTTGAAATCATGTGCGATTAAAAACACCCTTACTAAGTTCAATACACTTCAACACACTAATCATTGCTAATTTTGTGAGCATGTTGCTGTAAATGCTGTTAAGCTAAAGTTAAAATCGCTTTTAAGATGTTAACACAAGAAAAACTGAGCCAGCTTTAGACTTGACAACGGCAGGGCTGTTAGCATATTGAGCAGTTCAATAAAACCATTTTTCATATTTGTATATAACTAAGTGTGATTTGCTGTGTGAAAACAAACCCAGAGAGAATCTTAGCAGGTGGGAGAAATGGTTTATTAACTGCCAAGATAAAGTGCAAGTCTGATTAAGGTTTGTCTACAAATACAGCCAGGAAAAAGCTATCAGGGATATTTCAGTGATGTTATAGCACACACAAAAATATCTTTTCAGGGATAAAGTCACAAAAATCTGGCAATGTAGTTTAATTTCAATTTGCTAAACTTTCTACAACTCATTTCCGTATTTTCGCTAGTAGGAATGAACAACCTTTCTTCTGTGTATGTAACTCAATATCATCTTGAATTCTTCCATATACCACAGTTTTCTGCTTGTGCTTTGATAAACTGGTTAGTGAGATATTAAAACGGTCGATAATAAAGTAGAGATAACAAAAAAAAAATCCAACTTGTAATTATTAGTCGGAAGCTGACATGAAGACCTCATTTGAGGCGGAGCCTTGAGGAAAAGAAAGTCAGGACTGAAAACTGTGTCCACATTTTTCACATCTGCACTGTGAAATCAAAAAGCACACAGCCAATTTTTATTTATTTAAAAGCAATTGATACCCGTCCAGCCGGTCCACACAGTGTTTATTGTTGGGGAGATGTTAGAGCTGCTGCCTGCCATAGATCCACTCCTAATTTGATTCTTCTGCCTCAGGCCTTGCAGCTAAAAGTCGTCTTTCATCTGTGTTTTGTCTGTCGACTTCGACTATATCACATTAACTACAAGGATTTACTCATTTCCTTGATTGACTGACCGCACAGAAACTGGCAGAGTTATCTCCTGTTTATCTCCCAAGCTTACTATTTACAGTCTTATTGGTTTATGTGTGTGTATGGATTTTTCTTTCCTTTTCGCTCCCTGCATTGTTTTGGTATGTGTAACATATTAATGTTGTTGTGAGCAGAATAGAGACTCTGTTCCGAGCTGGTTTGCACTGATGTTTTATCTTTCATAGCAGATCTCACTGCTCTTTAGAAACATGGTTTCTTTATCTTGAACCCTCTTGTGGTCCCTGAAATATTTTCTATGACACTGTTTTAGAGTCTTGATAAGATAAGTCTCTATAATATTTAGGGGGAAAACAGCCTTGTTTTCAGCTTGACAACAATGTGTTTTGGAGGGAATCTAATTGATTCTGAAAAGGATCTCCAGATCTTGAGGAATTTTCACAACACAGGTCATCTTTTAGCTGAATGTGAAAAACAATTCAACAACTTATGAAACAAATAGATCACAAAAAGCAAAAACAGACAAACAAACAAGGTAATTTGTTCATTAGGGTTAAACCCAACCCCCTGACCCCTAACCCTTGGTTTTTAGGGCCAACTGCATAACCAAAATAAAAAATTGCATCACATTGTAGTTAAATCTATTTAGGATGGATCAACTTCCAAAATCTCTTTGTTGTTGTGCCGTTGCATCTGATTTCTCCGGCTTGATGTTCTGCATCAGTGATGCAGGGGTTACCACCTTTCACCTAAACATAATTGTGCGTCTAGCTAATAAATATGAATAAGTAATGACCTTCTGCAAATGAGAATGAGATTGGAAACAATTGGAAACTGAAAATTCACCAGAATATTAGGAGAGGTTATCATATTACAACCATAAGCCTTGGAAATTGTATCTAAAAGGATAATTTTTGATGAGAAAATAGACAGGTAGTTGCATATGAGGCAGATGGCAATGATGTTACAGTTTCAAATTAGGCTGCTAGTGCACCGACAAGAGTAAAAGCTTGTGTACAGTACTATGTATTTTTTCTCATATTTCTAACACTGTTTTCTCTCTTGTTTGTCTCTTACAGTTCAGCAGATGAAAAATTCCGCTGGAACAACCAAGGTAATATTTCCTCACGCACACTCTCATACATTTTGTCTGGCCGTCCATTGTTTGCATTGTTGACTGTGCTTATCACATTGGCAGCCACTGGAGAAATCCCCCGACACATATTTCCAATTGGTTGATGTAATGCTTTAGATGATCCACGGTGGCTGCTGCAGTTAAAATGCTGATTCCAATTCCCCTCTCTGCTCCAAAACACAAACAGAAAAGGCTTGTTGGAATAAAAAAAACTGTCTCTCAAGCTCCTCGACCAATCCTCAGCCCTTCTGACAGCTGAGTAAAGGTCAAACTGAATTTACAAATACTTCTGAGCATTTAATTTAACCTGTTTGTGGTGCCAGATGGGAAGTGTTTTACAAAAAGGACAACAAGAATCAATGAGTTTGAGGCCTTCGGACAACTAGAAAGTCAGATTGAGACACCTCTCTGGACTTGACAACTTCTTTGACAGCATTTCAGCTGAAAGTACAACGCACAGTCATGTCAATCAGGTCTGTCTGACTCTTTTTCAGTCATGTCGAGATGTATAGGGAGCTGAGAGTAGATTGATCATGTGAGTGCAGGGTTGGCGACCTCTGCCAACAAAGAGGCGTCCAAACACAAGGAAGCCCTGAGGTCTGTGGTCAAAACGCTTCACACTCACAGCTCCCAGAGTCTGCCGTGGTTTTTCAGCCAGTTTTATCTGCTGTGCTCGACCTCGACCGCTCAGCCTCAGAGAGACTAAATTTACTGTCATGAAAAAGGAAAACTTTTGCTTGCTCCAATCAAACCATTTGATCTCGCCATAACTCTGGAATTATTAAAAACCTATCACTTCTGGATCAAACAGGATTAAAAATGAGTTTTGGCTTTTTTCTGTGTGAGGGTGAGAGTAAATCCACCATAATGCCGCAGACTGCACTGGAAATCTTTCACCAGCAGCATCAATATCAGTCTGAAATTGCATCAGTCGAAGTCAATAAAATCAGCCTCCTAAATCCACACACTAAAGCCTCTGCTATTACCATTTCTCTCGGTGAGAGATTAATGCTGCTCCCTAGGCTCTTTTTTTTAAGGTTTTACCCTTTGGAAAAACTCCCTCACACTCACTTAAAGGCTCTGGGCATGTTATCGGCCTCTCACTGACACAAATGCCCTGGTAACGAAGAATATGGCTGCAACCTATAAATCTCACTCCCACAAGATTTGTCGCTGGATTATCACTATTTACAATTATCTTGAGGTTTACCAACACGGAGTAATATTTGCAAACCAAGTGTCAAGGATAAAAACAACCATGAATGAATATGGCCACTTTTTTGCTGCAAATTAGCAGGTGGATGATATTGAATGAACGGACATGTATGAGATAATCAGAAAAAAAATGTGGTGTCTCCTGGGAAACGTCAAAGCACATGTATGAAAAGTTTAACCATTTGAAAGTGGCTGGTCTTGCTTACATAACTCACCCGTTATTTATAACTCTCCCTCTATTCACAGGCTTTCAACATCATGACTAGAAATCATAGGCACTCAGAAAGGCCATGTCAGTGGTACTGATTTTAAACAGAGAAAACATTTCAAGCAATATGAAATTGTTTTTGTGCTTAGATTTTCATCACATAGTAAATAGCTGTATCGGAATAAATAGAAAGACTGCAACAACATTTTAACCCTATTAATGGAACATTTTGAACCCTAGTGCTGTCCAAGTCTGTATCGACCAGGTCAAACAAAAAAGTGGATTTTATTGCTGTTTTTATTTTAGTATTATTTGTTTTTCATACTGTGATGTCTTGAGAGGTCGGGATCTTTCCCTCTTGTAGCTTTTGAGGTGTGGGCGCAGGAAATGAAGACAGACAGCTTTGCTTTCCAACTCAAATCCACTGCATTCAGTCTTCTTTTAACAGGTTTAACTTCAACAGTCAGCAGATAAACAACAAAAAAAACCACACACACAAACACTCAAACTCTCGTTCACAGTCTTCCTTGTCAACCAACAAAAGAACTCCCTTCCCCTCCACCTCCACCTCAGACAGAGTCTCTTCTTTATCTGCTCTGTTCACTCTCAGCCAACCTCCCTGGGGCAATCAGCTAGATATCCTTCAGCTGGGCGACACTCCTGCTGACTATGGGGTTTGTAGTTCTGTAATGGAGGCCATGATGGGTTGTAGTCCTTGCTGCAGCCACCGGGAGGGAATGTATCTCCCCTCTATGACACCCCCTCTCATGACATCACAATATTTTAAAATTCCACCTTCAGTGGTCAGTGACCAGAGTTAACTTGATTTTTATTCCAAATGGATTGTGGGTGTTTATTTTTGGTGATGCATCGAAGTTGAAGAAATTGGTGTTACCTCAAATTGATTTAATATACTGGCATTTAGTGATAGATCGTACATGAAGTGTGAAAGGGGGATAGACAGAGGGGAAGACATGCCGCTAAGGGCCGGGTCAGAACCGGACTGCTGCTGAGGACTCAAGCCTCAGCACACTAATTTAACATACTGTAAACCTGTGGCAGGATAGCCTTATATATATATATATATATATATATATATATATAGTATGTCTGGTGTGAAATGTACATGATGAGTACTTGAAGGTTAATCTGTAAATTCACAATTGATGTGGAGCAGGAGTCAGTGGGGGCTCATCCAGCCATGAGGCTTAACTCCCATCTCACAGTGCAGGGACATGGAGGAACAGTGTGGAAGAGGCAGAAGAAGCTGTGTCTTTCTTTCCATTCAGGTTTGTTTTCATCTTTTGTCTCTGCACATGCAGATGGACAGAAGGACATAGAGGAAGAGCTGACAACAGGCCTGGAGCTGGTGGACTCGTGCATCCGGTCGCTCCAGGAATCGGGCATCTTGGACTCACAGGACACCTCTACAGGAGACAGTAAGAGCAATTATTGTTATAATGCTTTCTTTTTAAGGATGCGGAAATTATTTCCCATGGCAATTTGATTTCCAGAGACAGCCAAGAAAAATAGCTTTGGAGAGAATAGGTATAAGGCAATTGTAGACCAGTGGGGATAGTTCACAGAACAGCAGTCTCCATGTTTTGGCTAATTAACTTGTTGAATGTTTATGAAATCACCAAGCAAATGTGATTCACAAAGCCAGCCTCCATTAAAATATGAGTGAGTCATATAACCTTTAAAGTAAAAATAAAAACTGAAATAGATACTAAAAGATTTCCTTTTGTTAATTTAATGAGGCCAAACAGATCCATTTCACTCACTTGCTCTTATTAGCACATTCTACAAAAGGGATGAACATTTAGAACAGTATGTCATTTTAAACACTAGAACAAGATACATAGGAGATGGACATTAGATATATACGATTCAACGTTTGTAAGAGTTTCAAAGTGACAGGTGGATTTTTAACATCGATGCAGTGCAATGATGGGGTCCCGGGCTTTATTAATGAGGCCAGTTGGAGTTGGGTCTGGTCTTCTGATGGAAATACTTTGCTATTGAACAGCTAAATTATCAATGTTCATTAACTAGTCACCAACTCTGTCTACCATTTGATGCCGGCTTTGCAGCAGACAGTGGTTTTTTTCAGAGGTTTTCCACAGAAGCTCTTTTCTATAGTCCACCCCATGGGAAAGAAGTAGGTGTCAGGAGACATGCAGAGCCGTGCCAGTAGTTTGATATGCTAATCCATCCTTGCTGAGGTGTCAGCTGGCCTGCTGTTCTCAGTGCAGAGAGGGGAGGCACACACACACACACATACACACATTTATCTTTGTGAGCACACTCGCTGATTTAATGCATCTTAACCTCATCACAATTAAATCTTTAACTTTAGCTTTATTCTTATTCTACGTATCTTAATGAAACCTTAAAATCAATTCTTAACTTTGGAACAGATCTTTAAAGTCTTGAAAAAGGAGGACCAGTCGAGGTCTTCACTTTCCAAAAATGTCCTGATTCCCAAGGAATAAATTTAAACATGTACATGCACAAATAGACATTAATACATATTCTGTGCAACACCACAGACTGGAGTGGAACCACAACATCAAGGTGCCGCTGATACATGCCAATCACAAGTCAGTCTCAGCCATCAATCATTATGTTTCACCCTGTTTTATAGCATCAAATAACAATTTAAAAACAAACTCATAAGAGAAAATTTCTCACACTGATAAGAACTACCGAAACAATATTGATGAAAAAATTATTTTACGTCCACTTTGAATTTTTGGTTTGGCTCATGCCACAGAGAAGCTGTTTCCATGGAACTAAAGTCAGCTTGATTAGGATGGAATTGACAGCCATCAATTATGAGCCTGTTTACCGTTGTCTGAAATCTTGGACCTATTGTTTCAAAAAGTTACACATTATTTCATGTGGTAAATCTGCCACCACCTGCCAGCAAATGTGTGATGGGGTTAACAAAAAAACGAATAGGTTAGTCAGTTAAAAATGTTCATCTGGTACACAAGCCCATGTCTGTGATTTAACACTCAGGAAAATGCATACAGACGAGTAAAGAAGCATCACACACGCACACACACACACACACACACACACACACACACACACACATACACCTGCACCCTCTCACTCAAGCTGCAGAGCAGATTAGTGCGACACAGCAGCAGAGTACGCTGAGTGTCTTCATGCTTCATGCCGGGGTTGCTTGCCAGAGAGCATGTTAATCTCTGCATGTGTGGCTGTGCTGGGTGCAGATATTTGCATGGAGCTTTTTCTGCGTGTGTGTGTGTACACCAGACTGCACAAGCCTCCAATGGGTTTCTAAAAATAGACAGCTGATGAAATATTAAAATGTGTCAATAGAGAACACTGGTAGCGAAGAAAAGCCACTCTGTCAGTGAAAGAAAGAAATTAATGAGTTTGCGAGGGTCTCTCGGGGTAAGACTCTACACTCATGCAGTCAAGCAGGTCCATACAGCTGTGGAATGTGTTCATGCATGTTACCACTGAGCAGGAGCGCGTGAGTCATGTGTAGGTGTGCACAAAGGAATACCTTCTGTGGCATCCCAATACAAAGAATAATAAGAATAAAAACTCCTTTTTTAGTCCTGCAATGGGGAACTTTGCAATATTATAGCAGCAAAAAGACATCAGCAGTAATAAAGAGAAATATAAAAGAAATATATAGAAACATAGAAAAATATGAATAGAATTAAATGTATATATATATATATATATATATATATATATTTATGTATATAAAGCAAATATGTACATTGAATGGATTGCACATGAATCATTTAAAGAAAATGATTCATGTCTCCTGATCAGATACAGTCTGCTGTCATACACTTAAACACCTTGACCTATACACACCCACGCACATGCACACTTTCCCTCACTATCTCCCCTCAGATGGATTCAATGAAGTCTTCAGTGTTTGCCATCTGAGTGATAATGTATTTATAAGGCCTTTCACTTCCCTAAAGGCTTTACTACCCATATGAAGAAAACCTAAAGTGGCAAACAAAAAGCGTGGAAAACATCCCCTGGCCTTGCACACACATTGCGCTTGTGTTTGCAATGTGTGTGAATCCATCTGGAGTACAATTTCTCCTGTTGCATTTGTGATTTGAACATTTTGTGAAAATGTGTGTGTGTGTGTGTGTGTGTGTGTCTGTACTCACTCAAGATAAGTCTATATTGGGCATTGAGGACTTGACCTAGTAAACTCACTCTGTACCTTCAGCTTAATATCACATTTTAAATAATGTGCAGTCACCAGCTACACAGCCTACAGGAGCCATTTGTTGCACTCCAAGTGAATTTTCACTTTGCTCCAGCTTTATTCTCTAACTTGCTGATGCAGAGTGACTCTGTTTCCATTAGGTGCTGACTTTCTCTGTGCAGCGGATATTAACCGCTGGCAGTGTATGATCTTCCTGTCTCTTGATTTTAATAATCACAAAAAATCACAACAAGCCGTTCTTGTTTTGATTCTTAAGTCAGTGATGACTTTATGCATTCGCAAATATGTAAATGTCATCATCAGAGGGTGTACGAGAGGCTCAGTGTAGGCAGCTATGTACCCACCAATTGGTTGTGGTTCCAACTGCACGAGATAAAAAAAAAAACCTGGATGCTTAATTTGAGGCTGTGTGAGGATGTCTGTCACTACCCTCATCTCTACAAATGTGTCCCATTAATTATCTGTGTGCTGTGTGCAGCACTTTTTGCCACGCTCACACTATCCTCTGTAAAGTTTTTACCTTCCACTCAGACAGTCAGACCTATAGTGTTAGCTGCAGTTGTGAATGAATGGAATCTATTACACATGAGACTGATGTATGTGCATGTGTATCCCTGATACCAAATGCTGAGAAAAAGCAGCTCTTCCTCTGGCTTGGATGTCGCCATTTTGATTCAAATTGAAGTGCACATGCTCAGACTATAGAGACGCTGATCTACTGTGCTGACATGGAACATGTCCTCAAGGCGGAGTATAATACAAACGTGTGTGTGTGTCTGTGGCGTCTGCAGCTGCCCGTGTACACATCCTCAGTGGAGTATAACTGTGGCGGCAGTAGAGATTAAAGCGACAGCCACTGTTGATGGAGCACAGCTCAAGAACTCCTCTAAGAGCATAAATACTGAGCACCAGCATGCATGCATCTATTCAGAACTGATATAATGCACATTAGTTATTTTCCAGTGCAGTAGGTGTTTGCCAAAAAAAGGCAAACCGATTTAAAAGTAGCTACTGTTCTGTATGTGCAGAGTTTAGAAGCATGTTTTTGCAAAAAATTAGTTTTATTTCTGCAATTAAAGATGTTGATGAAGTACATCATTGCTATCATTAACGAAAGTGAATAAATCAGGAGTGCATCAAAAATTTAACAGGCCTTTAATAAGAGTGATGAGAGAGTATGGGCTCCCCCCCTCCTGTCCCCCTCAAGTCATTCAATTAAATCCACATCAAACTTTAACTAAGCGAGTACACAGTTTACAGTCCACAAAACATTCTGTCAATTTTCCTGTCGTTTTTTTTCCATAATTTTTTCATGACTGCAATCCCAACATTTACAAACTGTTTGAGTCGTGTGCCACAGTCCATGCGTGTTTACGTGTTTACACTAGAATTTAAATGATCCGTGTGCAAATCAAATGACAGCAAATGTTTGGCCAGTGTGACAGAAGCTGTGTGCGTGAAATGAGTGTATCCATGTGTCATCGAGAGTGCAGTCAATCTCCTCTGTGATCACGCTGTTAATGAGCTACAGTGTCAAAGGGAGGGACAAACTGGTAGAATTTACCCAGTAATATATTTCATCAATGTTCACAAACTGATGCTACCGCAAGTCTGACTCACAAACTGGACAGTTACCATCGGCTCATTGACTAATTAGATGGCTGACTAGCTGCTTGCTCGAAAGAAGCTCGGTGTGTGACTGGCCAGCTGGAGTCAGGCCCAGTGATCTTTGGTGGATTTTGGCCTGAAGTTTAAATTTAACTACAGTTAAGCAAGTGGATTAAGTGTAATAAGTCAGGTGGGGGGTCCTATGTCCTTGTATAAACTACAGCAGCGCTCAGTAACTGGGTCAAACCACAGGTCAAAAATCGATGCCAGATCATTTAAATAATTTAGTTTTTTTAAACTTCCTCTTCAGTCCTCAGTTTTCGTAGTAAAAGCACAATATTATTTTTGGTACTGCAATGCTTTATATCCAGCTGAAGTGCAGAGCTTTTATTTTGAAAGGTTGTGAACTTAGGTGTGAAGATTGCGTTGCTTGCTTAGAAGATCTCAGAAATAGTTGACATGCAATGTATGAAGAAAAAATAACAGCAGTTCAACTTATATATCAGCCACACAGATGAACAGTAAAACAGCAAATTCAGTTTCATTTAATTAGAAACACTGACTATAAAATCTTCACTGCAGATAAACCAGGTAGGATGAACCTGCAACGTTTTCTAACTTCACTCTGCACCATAGATTGTTTATCAAACAAAACACCAAAAAGCGACAGTATATTGAAGAACAGTTTGAGAAGGACTCTCTAATGACAAGGAATAACTCTGAAGTAGCTCCAGAGCATTAAAACAGGCGAAGAGAAGAGCTCATTCCAAACAGGAAGGTTTATAACAGGCACTGCTCTAGTTTATCACGGAATAAGAAAACGTAGCATCAAAGGAGTAGTTGAGTTTTTCGTGGCCTTTCCTTTGTTGTAAGACAAACTCACTTGTTTCAAAAAGCTGCTGTAAGTACTGAAGAATAAGTTCATGTATTACTGGCCTAATTCAACCACTCCCTGCACTCCTGCTGAATTATACAGAGAAATATGGAATAGAGAAGGAGAGCAACGGGCAGTAGAAAGCAGTAAAGCAAGTGACGGAGAGAGAGTGAGAAAGGAAGACAGAGGGGGAGTGTGTTTTAAATGGAGGTCAGGCACGGAGTGAGATTTAAGGGTCACAGAGCATTGGAGGAAAAGAGTGGAGAGAGCCTGGAATAACATAGTGGGCAAAAAGCAAATGGGTGTCTGAAAAAAGGAGGACAAGGACTTTGTATTTCCTTATGTTTCTGCTTTTAGTCTTCTCTCTTTATTCTCTTTTCTGCTATTTTCTTCTCTATGTTTCAAGGTTTGTGACTAAGTCAGACCTGTGAGAGATTTTTTCTGTATACGCATTCATTCAAACCGGGTTGTAAAAGGCCTTCAAGGCCACTGAGTCTTTACACAAAGACACAAGTGTTACAGAAGCAAAGTTACATCACCCCGACAAGAGTGATACCAAGTCTCACAGCAGCTTTTGAAGATGGTCAAAAGTTTGACTTGTACATTGGTGTAACCTGACTTGACCCCTCTCCAAATTTCACATAGTCAAGACCAGGATTTATGAATTTAAATTCATTGTCTTGTACACTTTGTTGATTCTTCTCTTCTTTTTCTTTGACACATCAGGACAAGGACTCCTGTCCCAAAGCGCTCTGCAGCTCAATAACCAAGATGTCTATGCAGGAGCTGGTTACCATAGTAACCAAGGCCTGGCACTTGGGGAAACAGTCACAGGTCGCGGCGGGCAGGTTGGCGGGGCAGTTCACAGCTATAACCAGGTACACACACAGCCTCGCATATGAATGAATGGGAGGTTTTCTCTGTCTTTGTTTCTTTTTTCTCTTTCTTGTAATTCTCCTTCTTTCTCTCCTTCCCTCCACTCATTTGCTTCTTCATCCATCCTCTCTTTCACACGCGCTCCTCCCCTTTATGCCTCCGTCTCTTGTTTCACCCTGTCTATTCCTTTGTACTATGTTTGTCCCTTCTCTTGTTTCTCATCCCTCTCTTCCCTCTCTCCATTTCCCCCATCCTCTCTCTCATCTACATCCCATTCTTCTCCTCCCTCGCTGCGTGACCTCTTCCTCACCTCGCCTTTCTCATCTCCTTCCACACTCTGCTTCTCTCCAGGTGACATCCAGCCGTGCAGCTGCCCAGTTCGTGGGGACAGACTCTCCCTCCCAGTCCCAGAGAGACTCATTTGCCCAACAGGCCCATGGCAGCGCCTTTCACATGCCCACCGAGGGAGGACCTGCACCTGCTGGACCGTCCATGTATTACTCTTGTGCCACTTTACCTGCACAGGTACAAATCCCTGAAGAGACTACAGCCAAGCCTCAGCTGTCATTCGATGGAGGCTTTCTCCGTTCCTCTCAGTGGTCCACTATTGGTGGAAGACAAGTGACAAATTAAAGGAAAAACCTGAAAAATGAGTGACAGGGTGATAATGCCCCAATCCACAGGGGTCACTGGATGGTTTGATGAGTATCTGTGAATCACATGCCATATCCCTCTCAGTCACCAGATCTCGAGCTCACTGTACACCCGTGGGAGATTTTAAACCATTGTGTAAGACAGCTCTCTCTATCACCATCATCAAAACACCAATAGAGGGAAAATCTTTTCGTTCTACAGACTTCAATCCATCCTTGAAGTCTGGTGGCTTGTGGTCACTCAACACTGTGATAAGACACATCATGTTGGTTTTTCCTTTAATTTCTCACCTGTCTTCATAATCCTGCCGTCACCGGGTGGAACTGAACAGTGTTTCAGTCACTATTGGCCTTTCCTCTCTCTCCTGTCCATTCTGTTTCATGAACAAAATACTGTGTTTACCCTCTGTGAGCTCACAGTGAGGTTTTAAAAACATTGTAGTTTGCTCCTTTGTGGAGGACAACAACTGCAGATTACTTGAATTCATGGCAGTTTCAACAGGTTCCTTTAGCTTCAAAGAAGCAATAAGAGATTTCCACATATTGCTTAGGTGATGTCCAGGAATATTTAGAAGATTAAACTTAAATTATTAGATTTTATACCCAGACAATGTCTCTGAATGATTTTGGTGTGGTGAGCTATTATTACATTGCTTCTTTTAGATTTACTAACTGTAGTTTTCTGAGTTTTTGCACAAAATTTGCAATTTACTACTAGTTCTAACTTCTTCAAATGAACAGAACTTAATTCTTTATCACAATGCCCTTAATTATCACAGCATCTGATGTTTGTCTAGAAGAGCACTGTGAGTTAGTGGAAATCTTTCGTTTGGTGAATCTGAGAGGAATTGTGCGACATTATTCAAATAATAAACAAAAGAAGGAATATTTATGGAGGGCTTGCTAGTAGTCTATTATGTTATTGTTTCCTTCTATTTTGATTTTTAGATTTCTTTGCATTAGTTACAAAATAATCGTATTGGTAAGTTACTAGGGGTGAAAACTGCAACACGGCTTGTTTAACTGTGCTCTTTCAAGTGCTGCAGAGTTCTATTTACCCTTTCGTCATGTCTGTCTTCACTTACCCTCTTACCATACAAGTAACAAGCATGGCTGAAAACCAGCCTAGTAACAGCCTTAGGTGTCACTTGACTCTTGTCAACATATTACCCACCTAAGATTGTAGAATTTCCTGCTACCCTGTGAATGCAGCAGGGCATTTATGAAAAAATAAAAAACAGATCAAGAGAGGATTTTTGATCCGCCATTCAACCAACTGAGTTTTGGGCCAAAGACTAGGAGTCCACCAGAACTCAGCCAAATTACTTTGTGTAGGTTTGACACATCCTCCTGACAAATATGATATGTTTTTATGCCCTGAAGAAAGAATCTAGGAAGCACTAAACAACAGCTACAATAAAAAGAATGATGTTAATTAAATACTAACTAACATTGTAAAAGAGTTTAACACTTGCATTGGGGTTAGGTGCTGAGTGCCCACTCTTCATCCAACTTACTCTACTCCAATAGTGGTAGCAACTGATGAAAAAGCTTATTCAACATATTTCTTATAATTAGTACAAAGGTTTCTGAGCACTTCCTTGTACAAGGTTTGTCAAGAGTGCAGCCACAATGCAGCGAACTTGTATTCAGTCCCGGCCTCTTAAGAGATGATTTACTCTGCTTCTTTTGCTGCGCTGTGATGAATATTATTCATTTCATGTATTGGAAGCATCCTGACTTCAGCACATCTTGACCACGTTCGTCATAATTAATGGAGCTTTAAAATCGGTATCTTTGACTCTGCAACTGCAAGACCCTGCAAATACTTTAACAACTTATTTCCCCATTTTGCACAAAATGTGAGTCTGTGTTTGGAACTCTGAGGGAACTTCATTTGGCGGCCCATTGCTCGCAGTCACATTTCACGTTTATTTGGTTGTAAAAGTTCGGCTTCATCCCCTTTATGTTTGGTCTGATGACTCAAAGCTCTTCATCACAGATGTTATCACGGATTAGACTCTCTGCTCCCTGGCTTTCCAGCTCCAGGGGTACTTGTTCATCTCTCTGAAAATAATGATATGAATAAGAGGAGTGGATGAATATTTAAAGCGAGTGACATTCCCTTTTAATGAAGTACATCTCCTCTCTTACAGCGTGTCAGCTCCCCTCTACAGGTGGTAGGGTCCCCTACCAAGCTGCAGCGCCTGGGATCAGCCTCCTCTGACATGCCCAGCTACGCCACGCTACAGAGGGTGTCCTCGCCCAAACAGTCACCCAGCCGACTCGCCAAGTCCTACAGGTTGGTTCCATTTTGGTCGCTCCAATTGATTTAATAAGGGCTCATTGTTCAGAGCACGTTATTTAAGAATTTTACTGGTGCCAAAGCACAGAAGAATTTATTTGCAGGGGGTTGATTTGGTTATTGATCAATAGCAGTGTGTCAACAATTCCTTCATCTGGTGCTGAGATTACTGGCTTTGAAGATCACTTTCCAGCCTGACCTCTGTTGCTGAACAAAAGCTTTGTGCTTGTATTGGTGATGTTAGATTCCTGGGCTGATGTTTTTATCGGTAGTTTCACAATACACTGCAATACACCTCAGCCTGCTGCATTATGAAGAAGAAGCTGGAAACAACTGCACTTAGTTATGTTGTAACAAGCATTACAGCACATGTACTACTCTTTGCTTGAGTTTATCATGGTTCAATTATAAAAGACTTAGAGTTCTAGAGGGTTTCTGAGTAGATTTCTGTCCCATTATTATTTGACTTACACTCTTGTTTTTGTCTATGAATGTTTCAACAATAACTGACTGCTCTACAGGTAGTTACAGGCACTGCATTGTTCTGTGCTTTGACTGGAGGTTGCTACCACAAACTAAAGTTCACCTCTCATGACGAGTATTGCTTAAGCCCCTGGTCCAAAACCCCCACTAACACCTGGCTTTTGTCTGCAATGGGAATAAATACAACCCTTCACTCCCAAATATCTCTGCAGTATAGCCACAGGTTTTTATTGGCTCTGGATCCGGCAGTGATGGAAATGTGACACCCAGGTTAATGAGCTAATTTGGCAAGACAGAAGGTGAGAGAGGAAATTTCAGCAAGTTCATGACGTCAAACAAGATGCACCGGGGAAAAACAGAAAGGCAATAAGAGAGGAGTCAAATACCTTCTCTAAGCAGATTCAACTGCATTTAAGAAACCGCCGTATACCTGCTAATTTTAGTGTAAAAGATTTATTTGATGAAACTCCTGAAGCACCATTTTAACACAAAAAATCCATATCAAACAAATAACAGACTGCAGGTGGGTTGGTCATTACAAGCTCATGCTGTGTAGCCAAATGTTTTTCAAACCCACAGAAGTTTATTTTGAGTTCTTCCAAAGGTCCAAAGTTTAGGAACATTTGTCAGGCTGTATTTGGGGAAAATGTGTATGAAGGGATGCAAATTGAACCAAGGATACATATTTATGATGAATGAATGCAGCCGTTGGATCTTTGGCCACCTGACAGTGCACACACACCCAGACCAGTGGCTCCACTAATCATGATTTAAAAGGTCTGAGGTTGCTTCATGTCTGCTTTTTACACCCGATCAGCCTCTAATATTATGAACAACCTTAAACCTAAGGGGAAACTGCAGCAGAGAATTATTGAAAGAGGTGAAAAAGATTTTTTTACCGCCGCTATTTGTAGGGACCTGTAAAAAAGAGTGAAGACTTTTCAAAATAGAAGCAGCAGAGCCAGACATATATTGGCTTTCAGTCCCTAGCATGCTGTGGCCTGCAATTCCCATAATGCATCTTGATTTAACCTTTTTGTTTCAACTTTCCCTCGTAAATGCCAATGTCTTTCAAACTCCACTTTCTTGGTTTGACAAGGGGTTGTTTTGTTGAAGTAGTTCAGTTGTACTACTCAAGATGTGTAGTACAAATATGTACGTGTAAACTGGATTTTAAATGCCTAAATGAGTATGATGGTAGAATGGAACTGTTACTTGGAATAGGGAATGATTATTCATTATTCATTTCGTCCCTTCGCAGCACCTCATCGCCCATCAACATGGTAGCATCGGGCGCTGCTGGCTCTTCCTCACCCCTCCCCATGGCCGCCTCCCCAGGAGGCAACCACACCTCGTCGCCCATCCACCAGCTCAGCTCAGTAGTGGGAAGCTACGCCACGCTGTCGCCCACCAAGCGCATGCTGCATCACATCGGACCGGACGGCTACAAGATTTCCCACGAGCTGTACGCCAACGCAACCCTGCAAAGGCCTGGTAGCCTGGCAGGTAGAGGTCAAGACAATTTTATTATTACCTCTTTAAGTGTTAGTGTGTTTGAAATACCATCATGTCATACATTCAGTTTTTGAAAATAACCACTTTAAATTCTTTGAGGTAATTGCTGAAAGTTTAAACTTCTAGGGGGACAGGCCAGAAAAAGTGTGAAAACAACTGGTTTTACCTGTCATCAAAACTCATTGTTGTGTGTTCATGACCAAACACTGAACTGGCTGCTGTACGTCCAAGATAACGTCTAATTTAGAGGTGAACTACTCCTGTAAACTACTGTTTAAATTGCTTATTTAATGCTTATGGTTTATGTAGCTACAGCAAAAGCAGTCCGATTCACTTTGAAGATGCGGATAAATGGCGTCTCATGGCGTTTTAAAGTTTAAAGAGAGCAAAACATGAAAGCATTTCTATAAATGTTTTATGAAGTTAGTCAAAAGACAGCACTCTATCCAGTGGCCTGAAATTATTTGCTTTCATATTTATCTCACTTATTGATCACATTGAAATCCCCAGAGAATACCCCTATTCATACACTCCTTTATAAATCTATCTATGTGTCAATTTATCTAACCTCTGTGTACCTCGTGTTTTCCAGGCTCCAGAGGTTCCTACAGCAGCCAGCACAGTCACCTGGGAGCTGAGCTTCGACCTCTGCAGTCCCCTGAACACCACATTGACCCAATCTATGAAGACAGAGTCTACACCAAACCCAGCCTTAGAGGACAAGGTAAGCAGACATGGGGCTATGGAGGCGAAGGAGAAAAAAAGACATGAGATAGAAGGTTATATGTTTAGGGAGTTAAACCAATATCAACAAGTCCAAAGTCTAAAAAAATGAATCCTAGAGGGATATACAGAGAAGAATATAAAGTAGGTTTTACAGAAAGACAATGAGCAAAAACCAAACACTTAGATCAGCAGTGCCATGCAAGGGGAACATGCAATTTTTTAGATGTGCAACACGGGTGTTAAGGTGAGAAAGGACAATTGAAAAGAAGGTTGCGTGGGAAGAGAAGACTGGGATTGACACAATGAGTGTTACTGGATGATTCCAGTGAGGGCACATCACAGAATTTAGATTAAAGACTTTGACTCAGACTGATCTGCCACTTCCGTCTTTGCATATGGTGAATATAAAGAAAGATGGCAACACTCAAGGACATCAACATTTGGCTACGGTTAAGATTGAGACAGAAAAAGCTACGATTGGGCATTCATTGTGCAGTGGCACTGACACATCGTACAAATGTGGGTAACTCTGGACCTGGTTACACTGCTTGTCTTCAAACCTCCCATCTCTGTTACTGATCACTTAACCTCTCAAAGACTTGCTACTGCGCCAACCTATTATATGAGTTTTGAATCTTGCGTAGGTGTGTTCATTTTTGAGGAGGTTTTCCTGCATCTAGATGGCTAACTAGACAATTTGAATACAAAAAAGCAACTAAGAATTACAAAAACAATGTCATTACAGCCATTCTTTTTTTACTGGAATTAAAGAAAATAATTTCTCTTTCAGTGTAACATTAGGAATAGATCACATTTTGAATAGATCAGAGTGAGACTCTGATGATTCCTAGAATATTCTTCAAACAGTCCAACACCAAGAATAGCTGCAGCATGCCATAAATCACCCAGTGAACCATCTAAATTTAAAAATCAGACTACAGAAAGACATCACATGATGCGCTGAATAAAGTGATGGATCAAAGACACACTTTACATACAGAGAGGCAGCCCAGACACAGCTGGGTCCCACTTTAAAAACTAGGTGTTTGTTAATGGTGTGGTGTTGTATTAAAGGCTGCTACACATAAGAGACTTCCTCCTTCCATCTGATCATGTAGCACTATTTGTGAGATCAGGTAGGCAAATCCAATTGGGGTCTCAATGGCAATTTGTCTCTCAGTCACAGTCTGTTAACTAATTAGTTTCATGCCTGAAAATTAATCTCAATTAATCCCACGGGCGTTAGTTTGGGTGCTTTGAAATCAAAGCAAATCAACCGTGTCCTAAAATGTTTGTGACGTTGTGCCGCAGGTTTGGTCGCCTGAATGTTGAATGTTACTGAAGAAAGAAATACAAAGAGAGAGACACATAAAAGAAAATCTTTTTCCGACAATGTTTTGTTCAACAGAAGAGACATTCACCTAAATAATTAAAAGGTTTAAGGTCAGTTTTGTCAGCCTGCCGCCTCATACACACCGATAGGTCACTTTGAGGCATCAGCTCAGTGTCTGCGCATGTAAGTCACGACCCCTCCATTGTCTGTCAAAAATAATACATAGGTTCAGATCTGCTTTTCATATTTCTGTTCCCCTGTGCAACACAAAGCAGCCGCTGAAGCCTGGCAATGTTTCAGGGTCAATTCAAATAGTTTCAGGATGTACAGAGTTGGAAACAAGCAGACAACAGTTCACAGCCTACTTCACATCACAGGTGAATGTCCTCAGGCCTAGTCGAGATCCCTGCAGTGATCTAGTTACACACACAGTGACCCAGGTTGCCTCCCTCAGAGAGAGCTGGTGAATCGTCCCAAATGCTTCCTACGCTGAATTCCTCTCTCTGTTTGAGACTGACATAGGAGGTGTTCTGTGGTTGTTACAGTAAACAACAAACACTCCGGGGAGCGCTGTGTGCCAATTAAAAATGCATGTATCAGCAAAACTGCAAATTTGTTTTAGTAATATACTCAATTAAAGATAATATTTACTGTACACAAACAGAAAGGCTGCTGGCCCTAAAGACATAGTTAGATATTTTAAGGAAATAAAAAATAAATTAGCTCTCTTTTCAAGCACAACAAGATTGATACCTAGCACCCTAACAGAAGATGATCAGTTTAGTTGAGCATCAATACAAGGAGAGGGGGTTTCAAGGAAGCTGGATAATTCCCTCAATTAATATTTCATACCAATGAATAATCCCCTGATAAACTGATCACTATTAGTAAGTCATACTTTTCAGATGATACCAACTAGATATCAGCCAAAGCGGCTCCATGAGAAGCCAACAGGCAGAATAGCATTTCAGATGAGACCAAAATATGAAACTCCTGTATGATGTGCACTTGTAGACGTTTGTGTTTATATGGGATATGGGGGCCAACAGTTCATTTTTTTCTTTTCACAAAACTGCCCTGCTCAATGGGAAGTTGTACAATGTTGTATATGTGGCTGGAAGTTTAATGTTTGATCAGTGAAGTGTATTTTTCTTTTAAGTGCATGCATGTTTGATTTGACTGCTTCTGTCTGTTTGTGGTTTTTCATCCAAATGAACAACTCATTTGGAAAGCTCACCTGAAGTCGATGCTGCAGTTTGTCACGTTTATTCACTTTTATTTTTTGCTTCTTCTCTTTCTGCTTTTTGCCTGTGCTGGTGTTGTTGCTTTTTACTCATTGTGTGTTTGTGTGTATGTGCATCCTTGTGTTGGCACTTGTGTTTGGTTATGATTTCTCTGTGCCCCGCTCCCCGCCCTTTCCTCGGTCACATCAAACCCAGTGGTGAACCAGTTGTACCAAGAGGTCCTCAACTATCTGCTCTGTCCCTACGCTCCTCTTCCTGCTTTAGCCCCGCCCTCTCCTGGTGTCGACCCAATCCCCTTGCAGCGAACGGGAAGCCAGAGCGCTACCGGCACCTTTCAGCGAGGCAGCTTCGCCACAGGAGGCGGGGCAGCTGACTACGCCAACCCGTATCGCACGCTGCAGTTCTGCCCGTCCACTGAGTCGCCTTACAGCAAGTCAGGCCCTGCCCTCCCCCCTGAGGCTGCCCTGGGCCGCTCTCCATCTGTAGACAGCATCCAGAAGGATCCAAGGTGAGGAAGAACAAAAACTTTTTACCTCAGTTCAGCTTTGGCTTGTAGATGAAGCCCTGTGTTCCGCTCCCTTTCCACTCTCACGACTTACTGAGGGCCAGATTCACCAAACTAAACATATATCATTATCAAAAACCTGGAGAACACTGAGCTTCAACAGTGACAAAGAGAGAGTTCATTCACAATGCACAAAAAAAGAGTCAAACTTGAACGTGTGACATGGTGACACCTAACAGTCCGTTATCTGCTGAGGTGCAACACTTCTGTCAGGATGTGACAGTCAAGTGCAGTTAAAGGATGGCTGAATCTGGGCTTTAGTATGAAGCACACATCACTCCACATCTCTCACTGTCCTCTCTAGTTTCCCTGGTGTTGGGGTTTGTTCACGCTGCCATACGAATGCCTGCACACACCTCTAGGTCCAATTTAAAAAGAAGGCTGTTGCTGTTAGGAGTGAGGTGCCCCTCTGTCAGTGACTATGAGTAAGTAGACACAGTTAATGTGGGAAGACTCGATGAAGTCAAATTGAGAGAGCTCTGTGTATGACTGTGTGAATGTGAGTAGTACTGTGTGTGTGTGAGAGAGAAAGTGACAGACGAAAACCGAGAAGAGAGACACACACAGAGACAGCGTAATAGCTGTTTTTATCATCTTTTGTCCTAATTAAAATCGGGTTTGAAATATTATTCCAATTGTGTCTTGGATTTCTCTTTCTTCGCCTCTTGTTTCTGACTAATGACTGCACAGTCGAGCTGTCAGAGACAGAAGCAGCAGAAGTAAAGTTGAAGTGTCTCTCTTTGTGGCACTTCAGCTCAGGTGTAAGCAGGACACACATATATTTGGACATTCATAATATTGCTAATGAGGAAGTCGCTTTCTGCTGAATCCCTTTATAATGACTGTGGTTGTTCGCAGCCATTGCTCCTTCCTCCACCCATTGTCCAAGTGTTTCTTTCTCTGTGCACGCTGCACTTACATTGTCTGTTTGTTCACTTTTTTGCTCTGGCATCATTGATGTGTAGCCTCCAGCCTCCACACATATGCACCGCTACGTTTGAAGGACTGACTTGTGATGCATGGCATTGTGCTTTACATTCACGTCACGCACAGTCAGTGCTATCTGAGAAGCTTGTTGTCCGCACAGCGTTAAAGGGAGGGTCCCCCAGGATTTATAAAGATACAGGGATATTCTCGGACTGCTGTTGTCCGGTTTTGCTGGTTACTGCACAGCTGCTGTTCTACAGCTCAAAGAGGGAATTATACCATTATATATATTATACAATATTTTCTATATCAACAAATCCAATAAAAAGAACAAAACCATTTGTTATAGTCAATCTCTTAATACGTCTTAGCTTTCTGAATGCATCTGGGGCACTCAACCCCACACCCATTTGTTTTTTATAAGTTTGCCATTGTAGTTTTTTAGCAAATCTAACTGACCCATGAGGAAATAGCATATATGTTTGGAACATTTTTGAGCTGTGTATAAAACATACATAAACCTAACATGAAATGTTCATTTAAAGTGAGAACAGCATCAGGGAAGTATACGTGGACTACTGTGGCTGTGTTAATTATAATGAAGGCTCAGTGATGGGATTTTAATCGTTTCTAGACAACACTTGATGAATAAGCCAAGCCTAGTTGTTACTACAGAAAATACTTGTTATCAGGTTTAATAATCTGTTCAATATGTTCGGTTTTTGTTTTTGTTGAATTTGCTGACAATAGGGAAACAGTACATAGACGTTTCGTTATTCAAACAAACATACTCAGTGTTTGGGAGACTGGCCAATTGGTCAACATCACTGTTAAGTGCTAACGCCACATTTATTTATACATGCCTCATTAGGCATAATCCATATGTAATCTACCTGTGCAATGTGGGAAAGTAGCAACACATTAAGAAAAATGAACCGTAACTTCAGTTTCTATCTAAATCATTACAGGTGAGGAACCATTTATTCATCATTTGCCACCACCTCAGTTAAAAATGTAGCTGCTATATTATTCAATTATTATCTTCAAACTAGCCCACATATAACAAGTTTAGCAGCTTAGCAGGTAGCTGGTACTTGTCCTGTATTTTACCTTCAACCACGCAAAAACATTAATTACACATGTATGATGTTGTCATCTATATATATATTATATATACAGTAGGTTATAAACTATACAAAGGTTCTGAATCTTGAAATTCACTGGTAAACACTTGTTTGCAACCTAAAGTAAATCAACTCTTTGTAAGTCCTGGTGAAAGCATATCCAGCCAGATCCTTACTTTGGATGTAGATGATTAGAAATTGCTCCACTCTGCAGCAACTATCAGCTTAATGTCTCGTTTGCTGTAGGAAATGAACAAAACAAACTCCAGTTTGTTTTGTTCATTTGAGACCCTCTCTTTACCTGACATACCCACCATCTTCCCTCCACCTGCTCAGCGTGCATGTTCGTCACCCTGCCCACCTCCTCCACCACTGCCTGATAACCAGATGTTGAGAGAGAAAGACGAGTCTAGTGGCTATATATTGATTTCTATTTACTAATCATCACTCTTATTGGTTATTGAATAATTTGTTGCCAGACAGCCAACATATACCTCTCTCTTGTTTCTCTCTGCCTGTCCCCCCTCGATAGGTACGACCCCGAATTCCTTGTGTGGAATCAAAATCAAGCCGAGCAAAGAATGACAAAGTAATCCAACTATTTATTTTTACATATATACATTCTGTGTATCAATCTTACCTTTGTCTCATTCACTGAATCGCTCCATCTTCTCAATATGACACCAATTGACGCAGATGTTAATGGCAGCATGACAACATTTCACATTTGTATTGTCACCCATGTACACACAGTGCAGCAGTGAACCGGGATCTCCTTTTAGCTATATTTGGATTCTGAATTAGACAATAGCTGTGAATATGGGCTTTCATAATATTAGTATGACATCATTGTCATGTGACCTGAAACCTCTCAGAAGTTCCAAAAATTGTCTAATAATTTCAAAGACAGATGAAACTTTAAGTAATTAATTACTAGTTGATTTATAAAAAGTTACAGTTATATGATGGAAGGAACTGTTTTTTTTAGATTGTAAGTATTCCTCATTCTCTCCTTGGGCTTTCCATCTCTCCATCCATCCCTCACTCCATTTATCTACCTGTTGATTTACTCGGTCACTGTTTGTTTCCGTTGTCCGTCCTGGTGATTTCTGAACGTGCTTTGTGACCGTTGTATTAGTGTGGCTTGCTCCGTGTTGAGTTTAGCCCTCACTCCGGCCAAGTAAAAGTGACTCTATCATTACACCACCATATCCTACTGCAGTTAATGTGATATTTTGGCTTCCCTTTCCATTAATGTCACAATGCTAGTCTGTATAGTAACAGTTTATTTCAGCTCTTTGCTATGTTTTCTGATTTTAACTGGGATTGTGGATACATAAAGTCCTTAGGTCATTCCAATTCTCCTTCCCAAAGGTAACATTACTGCCAGACAGTTAACAATACTTTCCAGAGAACATCACAGACTAAATAAAGATGGACGATTTGTCACCTCCTCCTCCAACTGTCCAGAAATCTAGCCAAAATATCCTTGATATAGTGATTGTGGTGGAGCCGCAGGTCCAAGGTCCTGCTGATACACATTTTCGACCAATCGCACGTCGGTCTCCCCATTTTTTTAGCATCAAATATTTAGTAAAAACCAAACCACAACCATGATTTAATGCTCTCTGTGATTTATGCCTATACTGCAGCCAGCCACCAGGGGTCAATCACAATGCTTCAGCTTCACTTAAGAAGGTAGTTTAAGGTAGTTTGAGTCTTGTTTATGTCTTAGGGAACCAAAGGTTGTCTCGTCCACCATACGTTGACCTAAAGAAACCCTCCAAAGTCCCTTATGAAATGAAGGAGGGGATTAGACTATGTAGAGGAATAAAAAGAAAACTAATAAAATCCCTAATCTCACTGATGCTCTCTATATCAGCACAGTGATTACATGATAAATCAAAAGGTGTAAGGTCACTAGCACTGTCTGCCCCAGGCTCCCTAATGGTATCTTTATCCTGTCAAAGCTTCAAAGTAATAACACTTAGCTGATTTGTTAAGCCACACACTGGCACCGTCTGGCAAATCTAGGTAGGTTACTGTGGAAACAGCTTCTTATGTTCTCCAACACTTTTCCTCCTTCAGGCTGTCAGTAATTTATGGAAACGTTCCAGCGAACACAAAGACAGGATCTGACCCGATCATAAAAGTGCCTCATTTTATTTCATGCTCGTAAGCACAGTGAGAACCTCTGATCCATATTCAGTCATGGGGTTGAGACGGACCATGTGTGTGTGTGTGTGTGTGTGTGTTTCTCTGCTCTGCATGACATCTCCTGACCTTTCGTTCATCTTTCCAGCCTCAGTGGGCCAGTCAGTCATCCATACCATCACACACTCAAATTGACACACACACACACACTCTCTCACACGCACACACACACACACATCTGAATGACACAAGTAAACAGACAACGCTCGTTTAGTTTTCATCAGTATTTCTTATAGTTTCTATCCTTTTTTCTCGCCCACTCTGAACTCCTTTCCATGATAGGGTCTATCACCATTATACACACACACACACACACAAACAAACACATAGACACACACACGAATACAGTTCATTGAATACATAATAAATTCCTGTCATATTTCAATCAGATGGCATATTGGAGCAGTGATCTATCGAACCTTAGTCCTTGTTAATAAAAACACCTATGTTGCCCCTCCTATACAATTAAAGCATATTCAGACTAGTATAAAACATTTAAATTCACTGCTTCAAATTGCACACATTCACATACACCACAAAGCTCATAATGTTAAAGTGGAAAATATTTTCCACGATCCCCCCCCGATCCAGATAGGCACCAACATTTAATAGGCTCTTTTCTGGCCTGCACAAAAATCCTCCCACCAAGTTTAATGGTGATCCATCCAGTCGTTTTGCGTAATTCTGCTAAAAACAGAAGAAAACACAACCTCCTTGGCAAAGGTAATAATGTGCAAAATTGCCATCCTTACAGGGAGATATGACTATCTTTGTTCTTATCTAGTATATTAGGAAATATTTTTTTCAAAATATAATGACTGTCTACTCAAATTAGTTTTTTTCTAAAAGAGTTTTCATTTATAATTTTAGTTTTACTTTTTTAGGGTTGCTCTTATACGTCTTCATATATGAGCTAGCCTCTCTTTGTTCAGGCTGTTGTATAAGAGGTTGTAGACAAATATACTCCACTAGACAACAAACCTATATATACCAGTTATTACAGCAATTGTCAGTATACCACCTTAATTACACACTCACTCACTGTTTGGTAAAGAATAGATGGTCTGTAGAGAAGGGGTGAGACAGATAGATGAGACCTGATAAAGAAACATTGAAGGTTCATGCTACAACATTATTTGAAGGACATTTACATGAACAACTGAGTCTAACCTGTGTTGTCCATCGTTAATCAGCTACTGTGTTAATTACTCAGGACACATCCCTGGTGGTCTGAGATCAGTTTCTGCTCAAGTGTATTGTAATGTATTCTAGTTTGCTATAAATACACTGTAATGTGTTTGCTGTTATTCAGCCACCTGAAGGTTTGGTCGATGTCCTGCTGCAAAATGAGTCAGCACCCTTGACTCTTCGTTTTTTAACTTGCATCGCTCTCCCCTCCTTTCTTCTCACGTCACTTTTCTCTGCTGGTTTACCCAACCTGACTGCCTCCGTGTCTGTCTGTATTTCTGTCTCGCCTTTTGGGGGAATGAGTCATCAAGCACATCTCAACCCACTCCCCCCAACACACACACCCACGCACACACACGCACACACACACACACACACACACACACAAACATATCTGACACAAATCACATAGTTCGCTCCCCGGTTTCAAATCGCTCTATTCCACTAAAAAACCCTGACTCGCAGGAAATCCTTTCAGCCAGATATAGCAGAAAGCATTATCTGCCTGCAGCCCTCACATTACAGCACCTCGCCCTGCTTTGTGAATACATAATTCATAGATAGTTTATTTATTTACCAGCTTTAATTGTTGGTTCGCCCGCAGCCTGGCACCTCTTATTGTGCCCTAAATGTTTTGTCTGTAGGAACAGACCCACACACACACACACACACACTCACGCACACACTCACACACCTAGACAAGTGGTAATGTGAGATAGCCCACCTGGTTGGCCAGGAACAAAGAGTAGATTGACAGTTTGTCATTACTTTGCACCAGTCCAATGACTAACCTAATGACTCAGCTCTCGGGGGATTTCAAAGTCCTACACACTTGTACAATAGCCCACATGCACACACACATGCATGTATGCCTATTTTCTGCGAGTAATAAAGCGTCGCTTAAGGACATTTTTCCTCATAACCTTTTTTATAATTATATTCCTTTTTTTTTTCCTGGGATTTCTCCATTTAATATGCAAAGGGACAAGTTTATAAAATGAGCGTATTCATAGAAAGCGCAGACAGAGAAAATAAAGGAAGAACTTGAGAAACAAAAGAGGGGACAGGTCAGCAGTTTACAAGTGCCTCAAGTGAAAACATCTGTTTCTGGGTGGAGGTTAAACTTTCTGTCAAAATCAGTTTGAAGAAGTCATGTAGGTGCCATGCTATGCTATTATCGCTTTGTTTTTACAGCCCATTGGGACAAATTCCAGTTTTTAACATTGACTCCAAAGCAGTTTAATTCCTTGTTTAGACTGATATATAACAACAGGCGATGATGATGTTCTGAGGAGGATGATTCTGGAGGAGAATAATTAGCCTGTCGTAACTCAGAACCGAAGTTTTACTGAATTACTGCACGACACCATGCTGTTCCATGGGTGTAAGTTCCACCGCCGATGGGAGAAACATTTCGAAATCTTGTTGTTGTTCCACCAGCAGCTAAAATCAAAACTAAATTGATTTAAAAACCAATCATATTGTCAACTTAGTTTGCTACAGTAATTACTGTTTGCTTACTGCAGTGTTAAACTTAGTGGTGTGTGCTTTTTGAAAACTTGGATGGAAGGATGCGGTATGGGTTAGGGAAGTTGGATCCAGATGAGCTGAGATTTGTTTTTTCTCCACTCTATTTAACATTTTGAGATGGGCAATTTCTCAAGTAATAATGCAATGAACTTTATGAAAAAAAAATTAAGTGGTAGTATCTATGAATAGATAATGATGTGCACAATCATCCATATTTTGTGAATAAATCAAAATAAAGATATTTAGGGGGGTTGATTTTTTTGCAGCTACTATATGTTAACTGTGTACATGGTGATGAAGTGGCCAATCAGCCTTGGATCCAAGGCCTTCTGGTTGTTTTTTATTTACAACTGACAAAATATAATTGTATTATTCTAAAGATAAGATGACACAGTTGAACTCCAATCAAAGGTAAGAAAGCAAAGCACAGTGATGCTTATTATCTCAGTCTCAGTAAATGTAATGTTGTTTGCAGTCTACATAAATAATAATACAGCCATTTAATTGATTTTTTCTTCTTACACTAATGGAACAGCATTTTATTAAATGATAATAAGCTTTTTGTCCTGAAGGTTATGGAACATGGTGGGAGATAAATTCAACTGTTGTCTGGCTCAACGTCTGCATAGGTTAATTGAAAAGCACTTACAATAGCCT